GTCATTGGCTGTGTGCGAAATTCAGCAAGTTATCCAAACCGACCAATCAGCCGGCCTGACGCCTGGTGCCGTCGATCATGCGACTGACACCTATCAGCTTAGCACATTTCTGGAGATTGTTCCCCACAGGCTTTGCCCAGTTTCGATCGCCGAGCTACCGATTGGAGAGGAAGTTTTCGCGGTACAGGAGCCAAAGCAGTCACCTGCTGTGGACGAAGGCTTCCTTATAAAGCGGCAAGAGGAAGTTCTCTGTGTTAGTGAAGATCCGCCAGAGGAAACTGGCTCCTTCGCGTGGGTAAGACCACTTGAAGAACTATCTGAAGGTAGACTCGGTGAAGAAGTAGTCTGGACGCAGGAGCTTGTGTCTCAACGGCCGGTAGAAGTTACAAACTCCTCAGATCTTCAAAAGGCTCCTGTGGGTTCACAGCAACAGACATTCCAGGGCGACGACGATCAGGCTTTTGACCTAGTGAAGGAAAGTCGGACGGTACCCGACGAGGCATCCAATGTCGCTGAGGTTTTATCAGAAGTCTCCGAACCGCTCTGTGTCGAGGCACTAAAGTCATCTGTGAGGGTACTTGGCGAACCCTTGGCATTCGAAAAGGCACACAGTTACACCTCAGAAGATACTGGTAGTAGAGAAACTGAAAATATTGTTGAACCAGGTGATCTCACCAACAGCAAGCAGTTAGAACAGGCCGTAGAGGAATCCATAGTTGCTGTTGAAAAGGCGCCTTCAACTTGTTCGGCGCAACTTACCCAAAAGAGAGTACGATTTGCTCCTGCTGAAGTTACAGAAGTCTGGAACGATTCCGACCGTGTGGATTCCAGCTACGACAAACAATCTCCGCCAGGTAAAACATCCGCCAATCAGGCCTCATTCTTGCCCTCTGATTCGCATACACTTCTCCCCGCCGAAAAGGCCCTACAGTTCTCCGTGCTCGAAACTTCCGTGCCGATAGCCGAAGCTGAAGACACTGAAGAGTCAGCACATCAATTCACTCCGAAAGTTGTTGAATGCTCGCCAGTACATGCGACCGAAGACGACCACGTTGGTACAACAGAAAATCAGCCCTCCCCAGACGCGGTTATTGAAGAGAAAGTAGAGAAGACAACTGCTGCAGCACCTGTTCATCGGAAGGCACCTGTTTTTCCAGCAGAGGATAACAATTTTGAAGTGTCCTCGGAGGACGCACAGCAGCCTTCCTCTGCTAAAACTGTTCTAGACAGCGCAGCCTACCCCGAAGGCGATTACGCAGCACATAACCGGATTACAGAAAATCAAACAGAGGAAGAGAATAGCTCAGATTTATCGACTGATTATATCCCAGAAGAGCCAGTTACAGAGACCTGCATTTCGTGTGGCCTTCTGCCGGAGACTTTGCAACACTTTGTGTTTGATCAACCGCCCAACTATTCAGACGCCGAACTCAACGTTTCAGGCACTGCGACAGGAGCACTTTGGCAAACGCGTGAACATTTATTTGTAAGCGGTGAAGAAACAGCTCTGGTGAGTGACCTCTCATTGCGAGGTCAAAGTCCTGAAGAAGGCAAGGCCGTGCAGAGCAGAGCAGCAGAGTATCCTCTGGCAAATACTCTTCCCGAAGAATTGGCAGTTATTTCCGGAAGAGGAGACGAGACCCCTACCAGTGAGTTAACAGTTTGCTGGTCCTTAATCTACCACATTTTTATGTTCTATATTTAATTATGTCTGATCGCAGATTGCTTCATGTGACTCAAAAACTGGCCAAACGCTACTGCAAACTTGCTGTACACGAAAACACTGTATTTTGAAATGCGTGAGTTCCGGAATAATTTTTGGGAATGATATCGAAGTAGGTGAGTTCGAAGCAAATAAATAAAAGATAAGTGGGTGAGATTACACGAATGAATGAGAAGGTTCACGATCCAGATATTTGCATAGACGAGGAAGAAGGCGTGTCGAGCACCAGATCGATTGAATTTTTGTTCTGAGCTTTCGAACTTCTACAGGAGTCCATTTTCGGACATGAGAAAGCAACCAAAAAGAGGGTAATTATAGTGACCATAGTCCAATAAACTGTCAGAAATCATCAGGTTGTCAAGGGATTAGAAAAAGCAATCGAAAAAGGATGCGGGAGGAGGGCCATTATAGTGGTGTATGCTAATTAGCTGTCAGTGGAGCTGGGGGTCATGAGCAGCAATTAGTGTGCCACCTTGTCACCCGGTAGAGGCTCCTGGTAACTCTGCATCCTGTTTCGGCTGGTTCGTTGTGGGGTCCTCTTCGCTTGCCATGCTTACGGTCAACATGCATCTAGACCTGCCAGCGGCCTACAAAGTCTTGCGCCATTATGCTGGAAAAAGACGGAAGGAAGCCAAACCAAACGTAAGAATGGCAAGTGAAGAGCACCCCACAACGAACCGGCTGGAAGAGGAGGCAGAGTTACCAGGAGCCTCTACCGGGTGACTAGGTGGCACACTAATTGCTGCTCATGACCCCCAGCTCCACTGACAGCTAATT